CATTTTCCACGTCAAAAAAAGGTATTTGTGATCGCTAGATTGGTCGATAGATGTTTTAGCTGCTTACAATCATGAAAACTGCAAGAACGGTTCTCCGCCATAAATTTTTAGGCGGGTGTCGAATCCTCGGTCTATGCGACTTCTCAGGACTGTAGGGGCCGAATGATCAACGGAAGGAGGCCAACCGACAGGACTGTACTCATGGCTAGTTTCATGGGTTAATAGGTCACTCCTTTGCTTCAATTCCAACTATATCTCTGGAAATATCACTTGCCGTTTATCATCAATATTTCGATATCCCTCAATGTCTCGATTGCGTGTCTGGTAATTCTAACAAACTACTATTTCGCAAAATTTTACCAGCCTTGCTTCCACCAGTCATTTAAGTCAACTCCCATATTGTCCTTCACAGTGAAGGGTAATTACTCTGAACATGAAGCTATAACCACAGACCGTCTAGGTGCTGTAATTAAACCCTTGTATACGCACCGGTTAGACAGGCTTGAACTATGCATGTGAAGCCAGCCGAGAGGTATATTCAATCCTATAGATTTCTCATTGTTTGGTAACTATTTTTGCTGCAAATGCAACAAAAATCAATATAAAAATATTACCCACACAGCATTCTACAGGTTACTTGTATAGAGTAGAAATATGTTAACTCCATATTAGATTTTGCAAAGGACTAACTAACGCGTTGATTGAAAAAAGAGGTTAACAGTTTATTTTAGCTGTATGGAAAAGATACGAAAACCGCTACCCCACAATTTGCACTATTTTTAACGCTAATCGCGCCCTCTGTCGGTGTGTAGCGCCTAGTTGTTTTGTCGAAATGGGATGTTTCTTTCGTTTATTTCTTGCTCTTATCATACTTAACCTCAATAAGTCACTATTTTCCACATGTTGAACAAATGGTTAAGAGGCTAAACACGTAACCCGATATATAATGGAACGGCTAACCATAAAACAACAATCTAAAGAAAAAGAACAAACCTGGAAACAAATATATAATCTGAATTGTAACAGTTTTCAGTAACACAAACAGACACGAGTAATCTTCGTTACTTGTAATTTCAATTTTGGGGAAAGTGTTTTGAATTTTTGTTGTTTTACAATAGTCATGAATTACTTAGTTGGGTAGACTCCTAGTAGACAACATTTGTTATTATACACAAATAAACAGTCGTCGCAAGCGGCTCGCCGCATCCGTCGGTTGCCCGAGACTACTAAACTACAGTAGGACAGCGGCGCAGGACTGGGACCGAGTCTACTAGTTGACAAAAAGGATTACTGTCACTGCGTCCAGACAGAGGCAAGACCGTAAATGAAGTCACTCGACTCCAGTCAAAATCACACCTTTCTATATTAGTCTGAATTATGACCAGAGTTTTCACAATTATCTCAAAGTTTTAAATCACTGAACCTGCTTCATTTTTGTATTTGATTGAAACATTTAATGCAGTCTATTGGAATGTTACAATCTTTTCAAATACAAATAATTTGCAGTATCGGGAATCAATGTAAATGTTTTACGCGATACTCGATACGAAAGTCAGTGGTTCAGAAGACTTACGTTCTCAGAACTTGAATCTTCCCGGGAGCCTCCGCGATAATGAGACGTACACGCAAGAGAAGCACAATGCATTTAATTTTATTGGATGTACGGACATGTACGAATAATTATTGCGTTACATTTTAGAGCAATTAATGAGAAGATTAACCTGACATGTAGGCGTGAGTGGCGCCCTCGCCTACCGAACGACATCATACCCCACTGTGTTGGGTTTGTAGCACCGCGGAGGGCGCAACTCACGCAACCTCGTCAAGCTATGAGGAGAAATAATATAATAACATTGTTTTTGACGACAGAACTCATTGGTGACGATGGTACAATGCCGTGTGTCCTTTGGAATTACACAAAAAGCACCATCAAATCGCGAAATACAGTATGTTCTTGGATAATTTGCCATAAAATGATAAAGTGAATACGTAGAGTAGATACTAGTACGTAGAGTATTATAATACAGGACAAACTACACATGATTATTGAAAATATGTATTTAAAAGTCGGCCCTTAAAATATCCGCGATGAAAAGCTATTCCGGTAGCCCGAGAGATTACCACTAAAACTTCTTGTTTCACCGACGCTATTGCTAGAAGCTTGTAAAGTAAGATTTTCAATTTTCGTGAACACCAAGTCAGAATGATCAAAATAACTACATGTCTACACAGTTCTGGCTAATGAATTATTTGATGCTATCTACGTCCAAAGTATTCCCGCGCTGTTAACTTTGTACGCCATATGTTTACATTCATTCATCATCAAAGCAATCTAAACGTCACCCTGGGTTATTAATGACCGTATCTTTGAAGGTTTCGGGTCAGTGTTTATTATTATTCCATATGTGATGGAAGCCCAAAGAAAAGTTTAGATAAATAAAATATTTTCAGGGGCTAGGTAAATGCTGAGAAAAATGTTGCAAGCCATCAGCATTTGTTCACGGAGTCAGACAAGGAATCGAAGTCTTAAAAAGTTAGATAAATATTAATACTCACACTTTGAACTAAATTTGGGTGGACAGAAGATTTCAGTAAATAGTTTAGGGTACAAGTATACGTAAGACAATTTACCCTTGAGTTCAAATGGCCATACAGTGAGCTGTAGAACTAAAGTCAATTTTGCGTTAATATCATGTTTCAGATACGTCCGTAATAAATCATTTTTTACTATTATCCGTGAAGTGGGATTTTTCCAGTCACCGTGCCCCATTAACATTGCATTACAGTCTCTTGTTTATTTTTTGAAAACTGAGAAAACTGCTCAGACCGATAAAATTATAGTAGATAATCGTAGTACTTAATAAGTATTCAATTGACAATGCGTAATCCAAGACTGAAAAGAAATTGAATAATAAAAGCATCTAATTATCTTAGTTTCAAACAAGGTACATTTTAGGTAATCAATAGATGCTTGTTCATCCTAGATATATTTTAACCCGTTTGTGTAACTGTCCTAGAGTTACCCCACCTCCGTTCTTTCGAATACTGGCATTCGCCCTTCGCCAAATCATCGTAATCTATAATACAGTCCATCACATCGTGAACCATAAACAGGTCCATGAAGTGATAGTGGGACTGAGTTTGTAATATTTACGTTGTTGTCAGTTTCACTGTACTATCTCACTCCGTCACCAAATGTGACTGTAAATCAATGTGACCATAACTATACAGTTATTTGCAGTTTGATCGTGGAGCTGAGAAGCTAAACAAACGTCAAGTTTACCTCTACTTTTGATGTTGAACACATGTTTTCAGATTTGATTTCTGCCCACGCAACGCTAAATCTGATTGGCCAAACTCACCCGATGCACTCAATTTTGGGGGAGGGGTGTGAGTCCTGTCTATTTTTGTGATCGCCCACACGTACTATCTTTGGAAAAGAATCATTTGAGATACGATTAATACGCGAATGACGTAAACGTTCTGCCAGATATCGTCTGCATAGATAGTTATTATACATCAGCGATTGTGTACCTAAAAGCTGCAGGATTTAATAAATAGTTTAACCCTAATGAATATTCATAGTTTTCAAATCGGGCGCGAAAATTACATCCTCTGATACATATACACTTCAGCGACTGAATCGTTCATGTACATTTCATAGAACTGCTTGCGATAAAATGGCAAATGTCGACTTGTCTTCAATTTTTGATAGTCCCGATGGAACTGACATCTTGACGCATGGGTATTATGCTCTTGGTCTAAAACATCTTGAGATAGGTAAGTGTAAATTCCCGACGATTTAATCATTGGATGGATAAGTTAGTAGATACATGGTAGATATGACTTGCTTGTTTATAAGATACCTACGAACTCCGAATTTTAGCCACATTTGGTTGAATTATTGTAATAATTCACTTCACTTCAGTCCTTCCTTCATTTTGTAACAGTTTATAAAACTGTCGAATTATCGATTACCGTAATATGTTCACGAAGACAGAGGGTTTCACAAGCTAAAACATATTGTCGCCCACATAGACTGTGGGTAAAGGTATGAAAATGTGTTGCGAAAATGTGTCGCTGGTGGTAAAATAGATGAATTAAAAAAATACTCGCCGGCTAAAATATGACCTTATACAGATATCCTGATTAAAAAATTAGGTGAAAAAGCTCGAATTCTGGAATAAAAAAAAAATTGAGACCGACTGTGTACTGATCACGCGACAATGCTTTGCACAAACCCGCAACGCGCCTTTGCCAGGGAAGGAGGCCAATTCACACCTACTAATACAATGACCGTTCCCAGACCGGGGATGATGCATGATGGACGAAGCGGTCAACCTGCTGTACATCCGGTACATACTGTGTCCAAGAACACTAAGGTTTTAGACAGGGCATGGAGGTAAAACAAGACACTTTACCTCCATGGACAGACTGAAAGGGGTAGACCATTATTATACAAACATTGGGGTGGTAAAAAACTGATTTTCACAGAGACACAATTTACAAGAATGCTGCATGCATAATTAATATGTACACTGCCACCATGATACGCATTTAATAATAAGAAAAAAGTGCCCAAACTTTCCCGGTGTATAATGCAAATGAGGTCAAGTAGGTGTTAATTCATGTTTGCTTCTGCACTTAGTTTTTTGACAGATTTTAATTAATAAATGGTCTCTTCTGTTGTATTTTTCCTTAATCCACCAGCTCTGCAAATATGAATATTTAAAGGCGCAAATACAAGTCAGGACTGTAGCCGTGCATGCCGCCACCTGCATAATTTCTAATGGTCAACCCTTAATTGTTGACCAAGTATTCAATATTCCCGCGTTGTCAGCTTGTTTATTTATAACTGATTCACATCAGAATGACGCCCGTATCAGTATCATTGGAAACGGGGGGGGGGGGGCTGAGTCATTGGGTCATACCATTCAGTTCGGGGTCACTCGAAATAAACTTACGCCCTTCTGAAAAACGCTAAATCTGATACCTCCATGATCTGATTAACCTGGGAAAGATACTGGTGGCATAAATTGAAAAGGCTCTTACATCTGTAGCCCGACAGTCGCGTGAGTTACGCCCTCCGAGTCCAGTGAGGTCTGATGCCGTTCGGTCGGCGAGGGCCTACTCACGCCTACCTTAGGCTATCACATCTGTGACAGGATTACCTTTCTTAGGACCGACCAGGTACTGGATCTCGAGTGCGTTTTCTTGTGGTACGAAGAAAGCTCGGTTCCCATGGAAACGAGAGTATTTTGTGTTTCAAAATGAAAGTTTCCAATTATGATATTAGGTCAATTATTTATGATGTGAAATAATTTATATGTGAA